GTGTGTGTGCGTGTGTGTTTTAATTCTTTCTATTCTGATGTTCAAGGCTCATGTGAATTAAACAAGCTCAGTTTATCACTAATAAAAAGAAAAGCATCAGTGCACATGTAGTAACCTTTTTCAAGAAGTAAAATATAATATTGTGGATACATTTTATGCACAGCGGCTAAAAACTTTCAACAGTAATTATATTTGCAGATTATGATTGCACATGCTCATAGCTAACAATTCAGCGGCGTTATCTTTTTGTTAGACTTCCTTGTTTTAGTAATTGTTAGATAGCATACGCACACTGCATACCGATTTTTTTACAGTAACATATATTTAGTTCAGGATTTATTCATATATAATCGTAAAGATCTTTAATGATAACTGGTTTACTAGAGACTTTCATTAATTTTTAACTTATAAATAGTCCGCTCACAACAGTAAAAAAATGAACTTGATTATTTTATGAGATGAAAATGATCTAATCAATTGTTTGCAATCAGGATATAATGATATAACCATATTCAGTCCCTTTATGGATATAAATAACATTAGCTAATGTAACTTAACACTGCTACTACCAAACAAACCTTTTCAACTGATTTACTTATGGTAGTTTAGACCACTGCTGTAACATACTTACAAATCTCTTAGTTATTGGTTATGTTTCTCATATCCCTGAAAACTTTTTCGTAATCTAAGTAGGTCATAACTTTAAAGTATTCGTCATTTTCCTTACGCATTTTCACTTTTATATCTTCTCTTATTTTCTATATTGTCTTCTAACTTTTTTATTACAGACAGGCTCAGGAAATGTTTGGCCCTGTTTGCTCGCTTTGTGTTTATGTTAGAAGAAAGTTGTTTTCCCGCGTTGCCTTACACTGCTTGAAATATTTTCTTCCGTGTCCAGATAATCATTAACATTCTTTAATAATACGGGCTATGTGCCTTTCCTGTATAAAATGCACTTACGGATTAGGAAATCATGCACACAGCTTCACTTTTTGTTACACACTCACACTACACATGATATTTATCCATGTAATCGCACTAAAGACTTTACCCTTCTACACGTCATCCAGTAACCAAGTTAACATCTCAGTTTTGTTCATTTCAAAAAGAAGAAAACATCAGCAACAATCAGAGCCGATGAGGGAGAAGAGCTGGATATCAGACTCCCTCGGTCTCTCAGGCCACTTCACTATGTCATCAAACTTCAGCCCTTCATCAACGGCAACTTCAGTATCCTCGGCTACGTGGAGGTGGAGATGGAGGTCCTGGAACCGACGTCTAACATCACACTCCACATGGCCGACATCATCACTAAAAATGACACTGTCAGGGTATGTGATGGTGATTATTTGTTTGTTTAAAGGGTGGGAAAGGCCCTTTCCGTATCTACATTGACAGATAGATAGAGAAACAAACACACGTATACACACGCACGCACACACACACACACACACACACACACACACACACACACACACACACACACACACACACACACACACACACACACACACACAAATATAAAAATGCAACACAAGTAGTAGTTTCTGAAATTTTCTTCTCGTGTATTAAGGTTTTCTCACTGAATGAGAGGGCAGTTGTGGGCATCAAGGAACAGCACTACGACCCCGAGCGCCAGTTCTACATCGCCCACCTGGAGAAGCAGCTGGAAGAGGGCGAGAAGTACGTACTGTCAATGGACTTCCTCGGTTCCCTCGGCGATCTGCTTCATGGCTTCTACAAATCGGCCTACAAAGACATCGACGGAACTACAAAGTAAATATCCCATCTATTAGTGCCTGTACACAAAAGAGGTAAGCAAAACTGAATACCTCGTATGATTTCAGTGCGTGTATCACATGAATTAATTCCGGACAGGAGAGTGGCCGCGACAATGTTCCAGCCCACGGACGCCCGCCGCGCCTTCCCGTGCTTCGACGAGCCGGCCCTGAAGGCGACCTTCGAGGTCCACCTGGCGAGGGAGACCTGGATGACGTCACTCTCCAATATGCCCCTCGCCGAGACGCGACCTGTGTGAGTACTGACAAATCATTACCAGACCGTCGAAGTTTTTTCAGGAATGCATTAAATACCCCCTTAGTAGGTTTCCACTGAATAATAAGTGTTTTAACAACAGCGAAGGTCAGGAGGGCTGGGTGTGGGACCGCTTCGAGAGGAGCGTCCCCATGTCCACCTACCTCGTCGCTTTCGTCGTCTCAGACTTTTCTCACGTGAAGTCTAGCAAGGACGGCCACGTGCAGTTCAGAGGTAATAATCCTCCAGTAATAGGAAAAGACAATGATATACTTCATAACCGTTATGCATAATTCTATATATGTGCCTTTCATACGTCGTTCGACAGTTTGGGCGCGAAGATCGGTCATAGATCAAGCAAAATACACAGCCTCCATTGCGCCCAAGATTTTGAACTTCTACGAGAAGTACTTCAACATTCCCTTTCCTCTCCGGAAGCAGGACATGATTGCTCTGCCAGAACTGTCAGTGCAAGCCATGGAAAACTGGGGCCTCATTACTTCCAGGTAAAACATTAAGCGTTGTAGGCACATCAGATATCTACCTCAGCCTCTCCCTTTTTCTCTCTCTCTTACTTCATTCCTGCCTCCCTCTCTCCCTCTCTCTCTCTCGCAGGATAGAAAGATGCTTCAATATAGATATATGCATATATATATATATATATATATATATATATATATATATATATATATATATATATATATATATATATATATATTTTTTTTTTTTTTTTTTTTTTTTTTTTTTTTTTTTTCAACAGCCATTCATTCCACTGCAGGACATAGGCCTCTCTCAATTCACTATTGAGAGGTTATATGGCGGTGTCACCCTTGCCTGATTGAATGCCCTTCCTAATCAACCGCGGTTCGGCGCGTTAACACTTGTGCCACGGCGGTGACTTCCCCTACGACACCTGCGTTTGACTTCTCAAGGCGATATGTCGTTTTCTCGGGCTCGAGTCAGCAGTCAGAGCGCAGGCATTTTTACAACTGCCGTGACGGGGAATTGAACCCGGGATCACGAGGGTCAGAGTCCAGTGCTCTAACCACTGAGCTATCACGGCCGTATATATGCATATATATATGTATATATATGTAAATATATATATATATATATGTATATATATATATACATATATATATATATATATATATATATATATATATATATATATATATATATATATGCATATATATATTTATTTATATATATATATATATATATATATATATATATATATATATATATATATATATATATATACTGCCGCGATAGCTCAGTGGTTAGAGCACTGGACTCCGACCCTCGTGGTCCCGGGTTCAATTCCCCGTCACGGCAGTTGTAAAAAAATGCCTGCGCTCTGACTGCTACCTCGAGCCCGAGAAAACGACATATCGGCTTGAGAAGTCAAACGCAGGTGTCGCAGGGGAAGTCACCGCCGTGGCACAAGTGTTAACGCGCCGAACCGCGGTTGATTAGGAAGGGCATTCAATCAGGCAAGGGTGACACCGCCATATAACCTCTCAATATTCAATTGAGAGAGGCCTATGTCCTGCAGTGGAATGAATGGCTGTTGAAAAAAAAAAAAAAAAAAAAAAAAAAAAAAAAAAAAAAAATATATATATATATGCATATATATATATATATATATATATATATATATATATATATATATATATATATATATATATATATATATAACTATCTGTAAAGCATCAATTTAAAATCGAGCCAGTTTCCAATTATCATTTGGAGGCTAATACTTTGATAGGCATATATATATATATATATATATATATATATATATATATATATATATATATATATATATATATATATATATATATATATATATATATATATATATATATATATATATATATGTATATGTATATATATATTTATACATATATATATATATATATATATATATATATATATATATATATATATATATATATATATATATATATATATACTGTGAGATATATATTGCAAAAGAATATTTGATTGACTAAATGGGAAATGCAGACACCTGGGCGGTTAATCTGGGATCGTAATTCACAAGAGCCAGTTTATCGGAATAGATAAATAATAATAATAATAAAAAAAACATATATATATATATAAATATATACATATGTGCTACGCTAATAATGGATCACAATCATAAGCGATAACAGTAGCTTAATCAAACGCGGAGAATGGATAGTGTAATGCATTAGCTGTAGTAAATATAATTGCAAATTACTTATCTATAGTTCCAATTACAATATCATAGACTGAAGTAAGATTTTTATAAAAAATAAAATCCCAACATTGCAGTAAGTAATCCTGTTATACAGATTCTCAACAGCTGTTTGTCTCTACAGAGAAGATACTCTCCTGCACAATCCCCGCGTCTCTACGCTGGCAAACAAAGCAAATTTAGTTCAAGTTATATCCCATGAACTCGCCCACAATTGGTTCGGTAATCTGGTGACGCCGACGTGGTGGGAAGGACTCTGGCTCAGCGAGGGATTCGCTACGTACCTTGGCAATCTTGGGATGGATTACGTGAGTTGTACGGCACCTTCTCGCCATCAATGCCGTTGTACATTTCGAACGTTATGGCAAATAGATAGCTTGAGATCACAAGAAAATGAGCAGTTGGAAAAAAAAAATCGAGAAATAGAGGACTGATAATATGTTTGTAATGCCTGTAGATAAACTTTTTAAAAAAGTTGATAGATAATAATAATATCTAGAAAAAAATAAATGGAGTTGTTAGGAAACGATAACTATGCCTGTAGTGTTAAATACCAGGAGGCAGTTACACAGCCAGGGTGTGTGAGTATCCCGTCAAATAGGAATATTGTGTAAAGACTGGTAGTTCTCGTCAGGACGTTCGACACTCGTAACTTGCTGCAGAAACAAAAGGAAGTGTGAATGCTAGCAAGGGTCAGAGTGACTGAGCCTCCTCATCT